TGCTCCCTCTCTGGGATCTCCTGCACACCCAGCCGGGTGTGTGTGCATGGCACGAACGCTCTCCCCTTCCAACATCTCCTTCCAGACCAGCATTCCTCCAGCCTCTGGTTTTCCATAAAACAAACACTCCCGGCGAGCTCCCCAGCTGGGCCAGGCAACCGTGCTGCTGATTTAGGCCATCTGGGGACTGTCCCTGCCTCGTATTTAGATTTCGGGGCCAAGTTCAGCATTTGTGAGATACTTTGCAAGCCGCGGCAAAGGGGCCACCGGGAGGTTGGAGCGGTCCCAGCCGGGCCAGCAGTGCTCCATCACCGTCACAGCCTCCCCAGCAGCACCGTGTCCCCCTCCCCTAAACGCTCCAGCCCATGGAGCCTCTTCACAGCCAAAATCTCCCCCATCCCTCGATGTTTTGCTCACAGCTCGCCCCGAGGCCATGGCAGCACAGATGGACACTGCTGCCCACACAGCCAGGCCCGGGGAGCTGGACACAGAGCCCTTGTCTCCTCCTGTCGCTCGGGGAGAGCAGATCCTGTGACATTCCCGCTGCTGGCCCTTTCACAAAGGAAACCAGGCCAGGGAGGCATCGCTGGCGCTGCCTTTCCAGCCACCTACTAGGGGAAGCTGCTGGTAACCCGAGAGACTTGCTAGGCACCTGGCAGCGCTGCCCATCCCGGGGCAGCGAGCCCAGAGCGGAGCCAAGCCCCAGCAGGGCTTTGGGGCAAGGGGAGGGGACAGGACCTGCACACGGCTCGAGGACAAGAGGGATAACTTGTACTGACAGCCCTGTGCTGCCTGCCACCTGCCCTCCGAGCCCTGTGGGACCACGAGCTCTGAGGAGTGAGAACCTGAGGTGCCCAGGGACACAAGTGCCCCTGTAAATGAATGTCTGCTTGTAGGACAGTGCAGGCACGGAACTGGGACAGCCCTGGCCAGGCCCACATGCCCTGATGGTGCAGGCTTCCCACGAGACCCCCCCCTCCATCCTCTCCATCTCATCCCGCTCAGCATCAGTCACCCGTGGGGACCAGAGTGAAAGTGGCTCAGAGAAGGAGGCCAGTGAATGAGTGCACACAGGAGAAATGCCAAGTCCAGCTGCATTCCCATGCATCCTGCCCCCAGCTCTTCCCACTCACAGGCTGGGAAAGCCAAACTGGGAAAGCATCCTGGCCGGCCCAGCCGGCTCCAAACGAGCTCCCCGGCTTCCCCATGCAGAGCCCCCCAGGCAGCACCCCGAGATCAGAGGAGGCTCTCCCCGCCCTGCCGGGCACTGGGGCAGGGGCTGTGCCGGACCGGTCGGGTCCCCCACACCGCCCAGGGCCAGGGAGAACCCACGCAGGGACAGGGAGGCCACCCCGCCTGCTCAGCCCCGCTTTGGGGTGCGCTGCCCCTCGGGGATCCTTTGATCCTTTGATGTTGGAGCCTGGCAGACAGCAGCCGGAGACAGGGCACGGATCACACCCTGCCACCGCCGGCCCAGGAGGGGACCCAGCCGCTGTCACACCCTCGCTCGGGCGACTCTTCCCAGGGCCTGGGGGCAGTGCGGGCAGCCCCGGCGCCCGGTGACAGGTCTGGTCCTGTCCCTGGCATCGGGACACCGCTGCAGCGCAACCCTGGGATGCACCGAGCGGCCTCTGAAGTGGAAATCCACTGCCAGCGAGCTCCAGAGCCGGGGACGGAGAGATGGCACACGGGGAGGGAGGAGAAGCTTGGCTCCCACCAGGGCTCTCGGCACACGGATCAGCACCAGGCTGGGAACTCGCCGCCGATGCCAAAGGCAGAGAAGTGCTCCGGAGGGCCTGCCAAGAGCCAGGAGGTAGCCAGAGTTCAGCAAGGAACCGCTGGCAGGACGTGCCAGAACACGCACAAGGCCATAAATCCTCCAGCTCGGGGCCACGAACCAGCCCGCGGCTCTGCAGGGCCAGGAGGGGACTTTTCCGGGGGGAAAGGTTATCTCCTGGCTGGCCCTGGCTCTGTCTCTCGCAGCAGGGGCTGGCCGGGCTTGCACAGGATGCCGGGGCTGAGCAGACCTCCCGACCTGCGCCGGGCTCCGGATTCCTGCGGTTTGCTGGGGTGGACGGGAAGTTAGCAGGCAGACTTCCCACCGCTCCCTACCTGCCGGGGGCCCGGAGCCCGCCCCGGCCGGCTCGGGGGCCCTCGGCGGCTGTTTGCGCTCAGGACAAAACCCAGCGAACAAAGGCAGCGAGCGGCACGCTCAGCACAACGCCGGCGGCCGCGGGGCTGGCGCGGGGGCCGGGGAGGGAGCCCCGCGGCCGCCCAGCCCGGAGCTGCCCCGGGGATCGGGCTTCAGGCTCGTCCCGCACCCCCAGACCCAAACACACTGAGCCTCCTCGGTGCTAAAGCTCAGCTGGAGTCGCTCCACGGTTTCCGAGGGAGCTGCGTCCAAAACAGATTTGTTTACAGCGTGCCCGGCAGGGGAACGAGCCCTGTCCTGGCTGCAGAGATCGCACGCTGTGCCTCAGTTTCCCCGCAGAGCCCATTAACGATCCCTTTAGAACAGCTCTCCTGCTCTATAGATCCCAGCTCCCTTTGGAACAGCCTTCCTGATCCATAGATTCGGCGCTTGGAAACATCCATACTTCCCGCTGCTGTTGCTGCCAGGGTCAAACCGGGGCGGCGTGGGACGAGTCCAGCGCCCCGCGAGCGGTCGCTGCCCACGGAGCCGCGGTTCCACGGGCACCGGAGCGGGTCTGGGAGCCAGCCCGGTGCCCAGCGCTGGCAGAGCCGGGCGGTTCCTCTCTCCGGGCACCCGCGGCAGCGGTGTGCCGCCCAGGGACGGGCAGCAGGGCGGAGGGCAGGCTGCGGGCAGCCGGGACCCCCGTGCGGGGCCACCGGGGGATGAGCGGGACGGGGATTTCGGGCGGCTCTGACTCAGCAGCCGCCGGCGCCCAGCCCCGGCCAGCCCCGGGGTGCCGCTGGACCCGCTCCAGCGCGGCGAGGATCCACCTTCCCCAGCCGGCCCGC